ATAACTTCCTTCAATATCATATATATATATATATATATGTATATATATATATATGCTATACTATGACATTTTCACATTATTTTATTATTAGTATATCAGATTATACATCTGATTGATTGATTGGTATGATAATCAATACATACTGTTAGATATTCATCCATGTTGAATTTCATCGTTGTGGATTATGTATTAATTATTTTTTGTTTAATTATTTAAAGTAGGCCTATCAATATACAGTAAGCCAGTACTGCCTGCACACTCAGGAATATTAATTTTAGATTATTATTCAGCTATCTAATAATAGTAAGTGAATGTTTTTGTATGATATTTATGTGGCCTTTAAATATCTATTATAGTTCATTATCAAATTGTTTATTATCATAGTTAATTGATTAATTAATTAATTACAAAATTATTAAAAACAAAGAGTACTTAAAACAGATAAGGGCACATAGAAAAAATTATCTCTTTTTTTTTAAAGTGATGAGGGCGGGCGTTTTTTTTCTTTATCTGAACAATAGAATATTGCATTTTATTATTGATGAGGGAGGACGGCAAGATTATTGTAAAAATTTTATAAAAACTGGTTTAATTTTATTGTTTTCTTAAAAGAAACTGTATTTCTAGCCACAAAATTGCATTGTTTTTATGAAGCTTTTGAAATAAATGACGCGGCAAAAAAAAACTTCTTCTATTTATTCCCGCATGAATATTTCCAAAAATTCGACTGAGGCAGGAGTAACAGTATATATACACTAACAATTTTGTCTATGTGCCCTAATCTTACTAATTTCATAGAGGAGGTACAGTCAGTGGCGGCACCAGCGGGGGGGCAAGGGGACCCATCGGTTTGGTCAAGCCCCCCCCCCCCCAAGTTTGTCGGGCAGTCGGATCGAAAAGAAAAAAAAAATAGGCCTTATTTTTCCATCCCAGCCATTTACTAGTCTAGAAGTCCCAATTTTTAAAAAACAAATTTCGTTTTTGGGGGTAGGGGACATCCCCTCCCATACCCACCCCTGGCTCGGGTCTTCGGCTATAGTTACACCCATAAATACTTAGCCCCCCAGTCGGACCATCTTCGCCCCCCCCCCCCATAAATTATATCCTACAGCCGCCACTGGGTACAGTATTTGCAAATTCTGTATTGGTTTATTTTAAATGACCATTCATACTTATGGGTCATTCATTTTCTTAATCATATTTAAGAGAATAAAAACATACTTTTTTGTGACATTCCTTTCCCGGACAAGAATACATATTTATTGAGGAATATCATTTTGAGATATCATTTTGCTCAGTCTCAGGGTGCATACATTTTTATTCCCCTCCCTCGCATTTGAATAGTAAATGGATTTACTCATGGTACTATAATAGTACACTGTAGTACTGTAGCCAATTAATCAGCAAATTGTTTACTCATTAATTAATTAACTATCAAATGCTCAAACAACTATTTAACAAGGCAGTAATTACACAAAACAGCTGATATCTGGGTGGTTTATGTCAATAGACCATCAACACTAATTGTAGTAATTAATTAGCACATTTTCTGGTAATGTACACAGGATTGGTTATGTAATAGGTAGCAGTTTGACAGGTCATTGACCTACATACAGTCATAGTATCTGCCATTTTCAAGGATTTTCTTGTTTTCATGACAAAGAGTGAAGAATGTCATTCAACGCTGGATGATCTATCTGTTGAACTAGACATCAGCTTAACTTTTACGTACACATTTAGTTAACAACATAACCATAGTTTACTGTAGGAGATGTTCTCAACAATCAGTTTTTTTTAACAGAACTATGTACAAAGAATTAATCTTGCAGTTTCTTGCACCTAAGTATACCGTGTAATTGCTTTTGGTAAAATATTGGATCAATATATGTCAAAGGTCATTATGCTACTCCATCCCGTCTCTCTTTAACAGGATATGTACCCATCCATTTCACATCACCAGTGTCAATACAAATGTAGATATTATAATTGCAAACAGACACAACATCTTCAGTAGAGTTTTACATTTCAGCCTACTCCCCATATAGTTTCCCAATCTACTTTGTATAAGTATTTTAAATATTAATATTAATAAAACAATATGATAATTAGAGAAGCGCAACAATAATATGGCATACTGTATTGTATTTGGCACTTTAAGGATGCTCGCAGCACCAAACGCCACCTTACAGTATGCAAAGATATTTAACAAAAGAAATGGTCCATCGGACAATACAGTAACAATTATCTCCCAATTTTTCCCTTCCCGTTCCTTCCTTCATAAACTTATTAGTACTGAAGCTATATGTTTTCTATCGTCTTTGTCCATTATATTAAACAATGGCTTTAATAAAGCAATATTAGTTTTTTAAAATTTTCATTTACAATATTTTATTTCAAGTTTAAGTACAAGGTCCAAGATATATGCCAACGAGCAATCTTAATCACATACAGTGGCAATCCCATCACACGACAAACATACTGTATATAAAGCCCCTTTCAGACAGCTGTAATACCTCAATATTAAGGTAAGCATGCCGGCATGGGTTTCTGTCTGAAACGGTCAATACGCCAATATGCCGTTTTACTTCAGGCCACCTCGCACCCTAGTAATATTGCCGCAGTATTGCTGTAATGGTTGTTGGCTTGCTCTGTCTGAAAGGGTAGTAATGGTTGTTTGCTTGCTCTGTCTGAAAGGGTAGTAATGGTTGTTGGCTTGCTCTGTCTGAATGGGTCTACTCAATATTGCACCGATTCTTCTTAGTGCCCATCTGTAATGTTCATTCATTCATTCATTCATTTTATTCGAAATTCATATATATCATAACAAATTTCAAGGATAAAAACACAATAAAGTAACTCAAAGTCAAACTTATTTCCATTGTGGTCCTTAAAAATTTTCTCTTATAATTTTATAGACGAAAGCGGACATATTGCAGGTGCTATGAGATTTGCTTGCTAATCTCAAGAAACCCACAGTTTGGTTGTAGACCTAGTATAGTATATTGTATTAAAATTCCAGGAATCTTTTATGATTAAAAAATCCTGTTAAGTAATTGAACCCATAACCCTGAAACTGGCAAGCATCACAACCACCAATGTATGTAGTTATTTATTTATTTATTTTTACAGTCTAAAGTGCACATACTATACAGTGCTATGACATCTGCTTTCTAATACCAAGAAACCCTTTACTGTTTGGTTGTATAGTGTATTAAAATTCCAGGAAACTTTCATGATTTCACAATGCAAGAAGATTAACATGCACACTGAAATTGTGATCATTGTTAAATTCTAGGGTATGTACTGTATTGTATGGTAAACCTCCATTGTAACCCGTTAAACTTGTTTTATTTTACAGTATTTTATTTACAGTAATTGTTCCTTATTTAATATGTCTAAATAACTGTAAAATTGCAAACCATATTGTAATATCCCATTATGAACATCAAGTTATGTATCCAATTATTATACTTCTATAGAAGTTAACATCAATAATCATCTCTGTCATATACTGTATTTATGCCTTTAATTCATCCTTGTTTCTGTTGCACCTTTTGTTTTCAATCTGATTTAATTTCTTTACATTTATTTTACTGGATGCACCATCAGGTATTCTGACTTGTATTCTTGACTGATGCAAAAGGGAATCCAATAAATATTATTATTATTACACCTATTCATAGCTGTATCAAGTTTAATTCATTAGGGTCTTCCCCTCTGAAGTACCACTTTAGATGCCTACTATAAATATATACCATTAACTTTCTTCTTGTAATGATAATAATGAATATTGATGATTAATATTTGCCCGTTTATTTTTTCCTTGCATAATTGTAGTGTTTACCTCTATTATCCATCACAATTTACGGTTCAAATGATTAAAAAAAAAACTGAAAAAAATATATTTTACACAGGAAGAATGAATATTTATAAATTTTACACTTTGCATCCTTCTTGTCTTGAGGAATAATTTATTCAATCTGAAAATGTATTATCCTATGACACTACAAACAAGGCATAAAATAAATATTAAAACTTAAAAGTTTGGTCAATGTTGT